ACCTTATAAAAGGAGATTCGCGATTGTGAGGGGCTAAACCGTTTCCAGAGAGAATGACATTCGCTTTTTGAAGGGTGTGGTAATGTAACCCGCAATTTTGAGCAGCGCATACGAACACGCAAATTCTGCCTATCCATATTATAACTAGACTTGTTTTACCAGCTTTGTTTATCAGACGTGGATACCTCGCAGTACAAACTAGTCAGTTTCCAAGATCCCTTCCTCAAAGTTTAAAGGCGGCCTTTCATTTACTGTGAACGGCGCTGGACAGGGGCGAAAATGAATAAATAAAGCTCTTGCCGTTGATGAATCCCGTCTTGGGATGCGGCATGCATTCTATTTCCATTTGTACATTCGCAGTGGCTTTTGAATGCGATGTGGCCTATACAATGACTGGCGGGGGCCAGCCGATGTTCACAAGTCAGTGTTTTTTATCCTCCCAGACAAGTCTGGTACCAACTAACCGACCGAAGAGGGGCGGGTGCGTGACTATACAATCGTGGCAGTAAGTAGGTCGCCGCGCGGCCGCCGCAGCCAGCAATATCGCGGCGAATTTGCAAAGAACTCAGCATCCAAGCATTGGGGAATGTACGATCAGATCATGTTTCCCGTCATGAAACATGAAATAAGAACCACTTAACCTTTAAAATGCAGTTTCGTTTTCGCTCGCCGTTATTACATACTTATCATATCATGCTTATGTTAGAGCCTTCCTCGCCGCTACTCTGTGTCTTGATACGCAATATTCTTTCCGATTGAACCAGATTATCACTCTCTGATAGAAATTCAGGAAACTGATTAATAAAGAAGTCAAATGAAATCCTAAAGGACAACCTTTACACGGTACAGTTTGTACTGCGAGGCTTAAATCACTGCAGGGATCTTACAGTGACGCTTGCTGGCTTACTGATGTCCAGCACTCTGGTGTTATCAGTCACCTAGCCAACTTATGAGCATGGATGGATAAGAAAAGGTCCACACAGAAATCGCCGCGCAGCAACTGCCGCACGCGACGATTCTCGCCGCGTGAGCGGCGTGACCTCATTAGCCGACGATTGTATAGTCCGTCGCCCTCGGGAATGTATGCGGCCATATTTGCCAGGACGACTCACGACCAGGATTCGATTCGGGACCGCTCATCGCGTAGGTGTTGCATCTTATCCACTTACACTACTTCCGCTCCTAGAAAGGAGTACTATCATATATCAATCGTTAGTAGCTGCGACTAGTGTATATGGTAACTGTAAAGCAAAAATGCGCACTGTAAGAGAACGGAACGCCCTATGCCCGTAATCACACCCACAGAACAAAAAGGGCATTTGAACGTAATCAAAATATGCGTCATGTGCAAATTGTTCTTCCGCTTGGAAAGAATGTAGTATATCTCGGTTAACTAGATTATATGTAGCTCTGTTGCATTGGAAGTTCTACCCTAGGAAGGCCGTTGCAAAGGAGTACTGTATTATCGTGTGGCCCAGAGTCACAATCGTCCGATAATTTTTCGCAGTGAAGTTCAGTACAGAGAGGTTAGTAAAATTATGGGGATGCCTCAAGTCGCTTAGCGTTCGTTACCGCGCGCAGGAGCTGTTACGAATGAGCTGTCTCGGTTCGTTCTTGCGGCGCTGAAGTTCGAACGACGCATTTTTTTTTTTAACCGCTGGACGGTCAACTATTTTTGTGAAAGCAAAGGTCTTTGAATCGCCGCCCCCCAAAAAAAAAAAAAACTTCTGCAACTGCTTAATTTTTCCTTCCAATCTTACTTTGCCTGAGCGAACAGCTGTCGGCCTTCTAAACCAATAGTTCCCCATGCTTACATTTGCCGATCTATTGAGCGATGGTCGAGAATTTGGAGTATGTATGGAACTCTTATCACAGGGCTCCGGTTCTGCATCAGTCCTCTCGGTCCGAATTATCTCTGCACCTGTCGGATATTGGTAGTCCGTTCCCATTTCTCTCGCGGGTTTGATTTGAACAATGGTCTTCCTCGTTCCATTTTTTGGGCCCGCTATTAGAGTAGCTGTGAGATCGTAGAAATCTTGCAGCCTCCGCTAGCCGCTCGACCTTGCAACTTGAGCAGGTTTTTACCAAAACTCGTAACACAGAACCCTTTAATCCAATAATTAGCAATAAACAATTTTTTTGGGAAGAAAAAGTAAATGCCTCGTACAATGTTCAAAATTGTGCAAAATACCACGCGAGCGTAATTTTTCCACACCTTGTTTCATACACTTCTCCCCTTAACTACCTTTCTTGAAAGCTCCAACACCTCAGTTACCTTTTTTGTTTGGCGATTTCATAACTACGACACAATACCCTACCACGCACTCCATTTGGATGGTGTAGATATCATCGCCAAACCTTCTTCAATCGGGAGTATTTCCACCCACATTCACAAAAAAGACATAGTGCGCCCATCAGGAGGTATAATATATGGGGTCTACATAACTGCGCAAAGTGGAGATGGCAAATTTCCCAGAAAAGATTCTTTTAATTTCGCACGAATCACCCCAAATTTCTTGAAATTCTTCTTCTGCCACTTCTTTCAGAAGAAGAACCCCATCAAGCAGCTCCTATCCCTGTCACATTCCATAATCACAAAATACGACCCAGTGATTTGGACCAGCCAGACAGAATGGTGACTCTGCTGGACCGTATGGCCTTTCTTTGATGCTAGTCCTTTTCCAAACCGTTCTACGCGGCTGATTTTGAACATGAAAATGGGATTTCTAGCGTGCTCCACCATATCCTGAAGGTGCTGTGAGGTAACAATTCCGCTATATTCAGAACTTTACACATGCTATACCATAACAGAACTCTGTTACTATAAATTCAACAATATTCAAACCTATCAATAAAAAAGGACAACAGCCAGCAAAATAAACTCAAAGTCATCGACACAAAGTATTTCCTATTCAAGCGCTATACAAATATCACTTGTTAGTTCCAGTAAATGGAGCACTTGCTAAACGATAATGTTACAATTACGTAAAAAACATAAACAATGACGGCAATTGCTCACAATATGAGTCTCATCCCATCTCAACGCGAACAATTTACAACATGAACTAGCAAAATGTTTGTTTGTCATCAAATTGTCGACTAAAAATTACTAAAGCTCTGATTCTCGAAGGAATGCAATCATTACTTATGCGAAACATGTAAACTAAATAAAAGATAACGAACCTTTCCTTATTTTGGTACTTGGTTCTTGGAACTTCCTAGTATGAACATGTGGATAAATACAGCTTGAGAAGTACCACTGCTCTTTTGCAAAAAATACTCTGAAGAGGCTCCTAACAACCAGTTGAGCTTTCAACAAGAGCTTACCCGAAGATAATAAAAAGCCATTCAACCGCGAGGTGGCATTTAACCGTTTTTATGATTGAAATTCGATCAGTAGAGCGAGTGAAGCGTTCCCCAACAAGAAGAGCAGCATATCTTCTTTTGGAACGTAAATTGAACTGCTCAACAAATATCTTTACCTTTCTATAATTCAGAAATTGTGCCTAAATGGCGCGTTGGGGTGCTTACGCGCGCAACGACACACGCCGTTAAACGCAATGGGGTTATGGAGTTCAAATATGAAACAGTAGGCGTTGACTGACTGGTCATTGGAAACAAGGCAAAGCACAAGAAGCGTCATTAAAACCTCTTCATTTTCTGAGCGATGGGAAGAGTATTTTATAGAAAAACTTTTTTGAGGCACTGAACGAGATCACGGATAGACACGAGTACATGTACCACGTTTCCGCGAGTATTTTCGGTGGAGAGGGGACGGCGAAGGGTAGGGAATATTCTCGAGTATTGGGCGTCTTTCGCTACTAGCCACACTTCAAAACGCATTGTGGTGTCGCGAAAGAAGTGGAACCAACTTTCTATATAAAAGCCGCAGGCCGGGCAATAGTATTTTATGAAGGTAAAATCTGCAGTAGGAATTGGCACAACATCTTAACCAGCAGAACACTGCCTTAGGAGTAGAAATTGACGACACGTGTTAGCTTAGAGACTTTCACGCAAGAAGGGCTAATAGGCCGCAAACAAGAGAAATCACCATGGGGTGCCTGGTCTTCTCTTGGAGTGAATCAATCGCTCATGTAGATAGCAGCTACTAGAGGGATAGATTGGGCAAGAGCCAATACTTATCGGCCCTCTATATGCTTTACAGAGCCAAGTATTTGGCTTGAAGGAAACAATCTAATATAAATACCCGCCAAAAACAAATTAATTTCACACCCGGGGAATGACAAATCAGGTTGATCGCGGAGCGGAACGAGATCGATCTTATTAACTTCACAAAATCACTTCAATCGGTAGCAACAACAGCGCAATGTGAATAACGTGCTTTAGTATTATTGAAGTGCTTGAGAACACCTCTGAAACGTGAAGGAATGACAATACGCGGCAGTTTCTTCTCTCTCGCACGGCACTCCACTCGCTACTCTTATTTACTCTCCTCAACCAACTGTAGCTAGGGGAAACTTGCTCTCTTCATTCTTCGAATTTACCTGCCCTTTTCAAAGGAGTCGCTGAATCGTGTGCTGCTCACTTTTTGAAAGTCTTTTTAGATGTATCTAGCTCTTTTTCATTCTCTGATGACCATCCAGAGCCTTCGAAAATAAAAAATCGAACATCTGGAGGTTGCGAGCAAAAACTTGTCTGCGCAGTGGGATCTGAAAATGTGAGAGCTCAATAAATGAGGAAATGTCACGGAAAAAACCTTTTTATTTCTCTTTTTTTGTTTATATCGCCATGAAGTCAAGAAAATACCGCTTTAGCTCTGCCTGAGATTATTTTGCTGAGGCATAAACACATTATTATTAGTTCTGCGATGATGAACCCTCCACGATCACTTTTTTCAGTTTTCCTTTGTGCTAATAAGAAAGCTTAATCTCAATCCATAGCAACCTACCCAATCCAAAAGTGCTTTCTTCATTAGCTGTTCTGTGGCGGAGTGGAGGTAGACATTTCCAACTTCGAACTGCGGCTGATAGATGATAGTTTTCACCTGAATATGGAATTTTAGAAGTTTATATGATTGTCGGCCACTCCTCGCAACATTCAGTTAAAGTTAGGAGGCCTCGCGAGACCAAGAAAAGAAAATTGAGAGCTCATGTCTTGGAGCGAGAGGAGGGGGAAGGGGACATTCAAAATAGGACCGATGGTATGTGATACTAGGACTTAAGCCCAGGAGAAGGGAGAAACGCTAGGGAACACAATATGCTCGCATCCTCCCCAGAATCCCTTCCCTCTCTGAGGCTTGATCCAAGTACTGTAGCTGGCTCATTCACTTGAATGTCCCCTCCACCCAGTGACATGAGCGACCGAAATAGCTACAAATATCTCATCCAGTACTCAGTTACCAGCGCCAAAGTGAATGCTCTGAAGCACCCTCTCAACAAAACAATGACGCTGCAGCTTAATGGAAAAGAATATGGTGGTTAACATGTTAACGACATAGCGCGTTTGGGCTTTTTTGGCCGCGTGAGGACCGGCGCGATTTGCAGGCGCCGTCGCATCACCTCATAACCGTGGATTTTGAGCTGTAAATACGCAAAACTTGTATGCGACAGAATGTTTTCACTGATGTTCAATGTGTTCAACTTATCGGGAGTTACAGTAATAGAAGTTTCACCGAAATGACCTATTATGGCTGTGAAATGGCAGCATTTATTTTCTTTCGCTTTGGTAGTTCCGAAATCATTTTTAACGTGGTTTTTTTCAGTAAAAACTTTGTTTGTATCAATTCTATCACTCTTTTTCATTTACGTGTTTACGATAATGAAAGAAATCAAGGAATAAACTGAAGGTCTGGAAAACCTCCGCCAAACCCGAAGAATATTTGGCCATTCTGTAAGCCACGTGGTTTTGGTTATGTGATGTATGGCCTATAGAATGAACACAAAAAAAAACTTGGGAAGAAATCGGGCATGTGCGAAAAAATAAATGTAATGGGTGTGGCATACATAGTTGCCACAATGTCCATGTGGTGCAAAAATGGCGGCATACATAGTTGCCGCGCTGTCGTCAATGTGTTAACCAACTCATGCTTCCACAAGTTTTGCTGTTTCGCTCACATCGCACACTGCAAACTTTTCTCGAAGCATGAAAATTGGAAAACATTCTACTGTCATGCGAATGTGTAAAAAAAAGTGGAAGTCGCGCTATCATAACTGTCATAACTTAAATATTATTATAATAACAAAAAGTAAGCTGACCTCATTAGGTAACAAGTACTTGTCCACGAATTCTTCCCACGGAATTGGCGGAAGTTTTGCGTTGAGAGCACGATGTTCACTGCGGCGTCGATAAAGAAGTATAGCGTGGGTAGAAAGCCACATGAACATTAAACATCCTCCAAGAATGTAAGCTCTTCGGATTTTCACTGAAATGAGAAGAGACCGCTTTAGAAGGAAATAGCCTCAAACTGAAATGATTCATTGAACTGTAGGAAGAAGGTGAAAGCTGTCAAATACGAATCAATGACAAAGTAGCGTAGAAGGATCACAAGCTTTTTAACACCATAGAATCGGGTGCTAACAATATGTGGGTTGAGGGGAGGAGGAGTTGGGGGAGCGCGCGGCGGTACGGCACTTTGCTCGTCTGACGTTCTCTCATAGCGAGACAGTGTAAACCTGAGCATTCCAGCTTTCGACACATGTCATCGGACGCCCTCACCTCCCTTCCCCCCCTAGACTGCCCACACTTCCTGGCTCACGGATTTCCCAAAGCGGCTCCCAGACAATACCTAACCATTTGGGTGCGGCCGCGGCCGAGTTGACAGGTGCCCACGAACTCAGCACAGCACAGTTCGCGTGCATCTCGAGTGCGTTTTCAACGGTTCGCGGCACAATCAACTCGGCCGCATTTGCCGCCCAATTGGTTAGGTATTGTCTGGGAGCCTTCCGAAGTACGCGAACAACGCCAGCGAGCAGTGTCGCCACCGCCGTTGTGTTTTCCGCCCAACCCATAGCAACTCACGCGTTTGAGACCACGCAAACAATATGAAGAACATATTTTAGACCTAGAGGAAAAAACGAGAATAGAGCCTCATCGTGAGCAAGCTGATCCAAATCAAACCAGTTGAAAACAGGGGGGGGGAAAAGGGGGGGGGGGGGGGAAACGTCCATTAAAGCATTTACCGTGTTCGCTGCTCAAACTTATCCAACATATCCCAACCAAAGTATCAACTCGGAAAGGATATGATCTTACTGATAGTGGGTGTATGTAGAGTAAACCGTCTGTCTGCCCACGTCAGACGCAGCGGTCACTTTTATGATCTTCAAGGCCAGGTTATTTGTATTGAAATACGGAGGCTTTCTGGAAGGCACGACAAAGAGAATATTTAAACCAGGAACTGTCGCAAAATCTTGAGAAACATTGGAAGCTTAGACAATTTCTGCCGTTTCCAAAAGACATATGCTCCATACTCCCACATCCCGTCGACGACTTTTGAAGTGGCAAGTGTGACAAGTTGACCCGGGCTAAACAATGCCAACGATGCTGGTGAAGGTAAACGGGCGGGGAAGGGGTGCACACATGAAACCTGCCACACGACAAAGGTGACCGGGTATTGAAGCTCGCATGAGTGAAAGCTATGAATGACAATCATACCGCAATTCTCTATGAAGAATCTCAAGACAGACCAGATAAATAAAGAAATTGGGGCCCCTTAGCGCGCGGTAGAAACGACAAAACTCTTAGTCTCTCTACAGGCTCCTACACTGTGCAATCGTTGCGATCGTACCACCGTCCTGTAAAGCGCCTCCGATACATATCAATGTGCGATCGCAAGATTGTACGATTGACGGGATACACTACCCTAAAACTGTAAGCAGTCGCAAAAGTGTAGCCGCAAACAGCTATGCTTGAGCCAATAAAGGATTGTTGGTCCCATCCATGGCAGACTATTCTTGCCATTAAGCCATTTACTCATGTTAGAGGTGAATGTTGAAATACAGAGCCCAGGACTGCCCATTTCAAAACGGGAAAAGCGTCGAGTGCAAGACCATAAGACACAAGTGACGAAGCGGTCTAACGTATCTCTACTTTGAATTTTCCCTAGGTGATTAAGATACTGAAGCAGAGTATGGCACAGTAGAGTGTGGTTCCTACTCAGCTATAACGATCACATGAACATACCTTTATCTTTAGGATCATCAGGCTTTTCCTGATTTAGCCTCCTGTTCCTTTGCCTGCGATGAACATTTCCTTGACGGAATATCTCGTACAATTACAGAAGCTCGGTAAAAATTTGACAAACTCCTACTCCTTGACGCCATGAAGGACGCTCGACGGAACAGTATCCCTAACAACATTTTCGTATAACTTCGTTATTTATTAGAAAAAAGTTTATCACAAAAAACTTCAAAGACTCAAAAAATATAAATACAATGAACTTGAAATGGCACGCCCGTCGCCTTCAATTTCTTGCCGTCACATGTGTTGCTCCGCAAGTGCACAGCAATTGAAATCACGTCTTGTTTGTCATCGGACATTCCTTGGAATAGCGGATAGCGGTAGTAACAATAGTTGTTGTGAATGCTCCATGCTTCCTCATTTGTTGATTCGTGGTTATGTTTGTGCAAATCTTATCGATTTTCTTTCTCTGTCTTAGTCGTTATTGTTCGTGACAACAGTAATGCTATCGTATGTGTTTGCTTTGCAATATTCAAAAAGGTACTTTAACTATTTAATGTATTTGTTGTTCAGTTAGCATTAGTCAGTTGGCCGTCCATTTTTCGTTATCACCTTTTACAAACCTTATTGTGACTTTGTTGATAATCGCTAATGTTTCAGTATGAATGGCATGGAATTCCGCGCGGTGGTTTTCAACGCCGCCAGCGCGGGAAACCTTCGTCGTCTTAAAGTAGGTTCTCATTTTTAAGCTCTTTTCTACCCATATTCAAACTGTAGCATTTCGTAAACAACATATTTTAAGGTGTTTCTTGATGGACGCACTTCGAAGCCTTGGTTAGATAGCTGCCTAAACAGTACAGAGAACGATAAAATACCACTCGTTATCGCCTCGCGAAATGGCCACATTGATGTAGTACGCTATTTGGTGGGTTATTTGCATGTATATTCATTTTTCCTGGAAGTGCTACGTTAAATTCTGCGGTTAAACTTTAAGTGGGAGAATAAGCAAAGCTTCTGCATTTCCACTCTGTTATGCACTCCTTAGGGGGAGTGATTAAAAGAAGGAGCGACTTTTAGGGAAACACTTGCTCACGTGGTCAAGGTTTCCCATCTTTTCAATAACCTACATACGTAGCGTTGCCCTTCAGCTTTCCCATGGACCTACACACTTCTTTCACACTTGCAAATTATCGGCCGTCTCTGGGATAGGGGACTAGATCAAAGCTTATTTCTCTTTACTCAAAGTATATATTTACTTCCTTTGCCCATACTTCTAGATGTAACACATATGCTTTAAAATAGGAATTTAATTTCACAGTTGTAAAACTGTAGTATAACCCTCGTGTTGGAGGTGTATCGTTAAAATAGAGCTGTGCTTTCAAAACTTGCTTTTCGTGCGCTTCCTTGTCACTAAAGAAAAGCAATTTCAGCTCGCGAAGGGTGCCGATCCCAATGTCGTTGGTACAGTTTCTTTCGACGGTGAAACAATATGTAAGTTACTGATGTTTGAGAAAACTGAAAGTGCCCTTGGTATCCTTCATTGTCTTCTTGCTAGAAGTTACTATTTATTTATCAAAATGGAAAGATTTTTCAAGAATATTTACCTACTTGTGCTTCGACATTATCACATCTTTCTGGAAAAGCTGGCTTCCAGCCGTGTTGAAATATGTTTGTCTATGGCTTTAAATTTGTGTAATTCATTTTTTCCATAACCTTGACTTTATGGACTAGAATGAGTTGCGCTGATGATCGCAAAGTTCTTTATATCTCATTAAAAGCGATTTTTGTGGAGTCTGACAACAGATTTTGCCTAATGGCATGCTTTATAGATGGAGCTCCAGCTTTATGGGCCGCTTCAGCAGCTGGAAAGTTTGAGGTTTGTGAGTGTAATATCTCTTCATGTGAGAATGTTGGAGTAGACTGAATGTTTCTTTCATATATATCATATTCACCATATTAGGTAGTGCGGATCCTTGTCGAAGAAGCTGGTGCCAATATAAATCAGACCACTAACACAAGTAGTACGCCACTTCGTAACGTTTGTGACTTCCTCCATTGAACAACTCGAATTTGAAAGTTCCTTTTTTGCTATGAACACTATCTTTGTGACCAGTTACAATTTGAAAACGTTGCCCTTCTTCCACCGCTGGTTCTGGTTGTGGTCACGTGAAAATATTTATCACCCATCGCAGTGACCGCACTGCATTGTTGCGTCGCCTTTCAAGTCAGGTGAAGGAACTGAAAAGTGAAATGCTAAAGAGGGGATCGAGTGTCCTTACACTCGCTTTTTGATATGTCAATTTCTTTTGTTCCGCTTTTATTCATGAGCTAACTTCACCAATTTCACTTGCTCTTAATGAAGCCCCCTTCTGCACCATTTGCCTTTCTGTTTCATTTTGGCTCCAGGCCAGTAAATGTGCATTCAGCGTGCTTGCTATCTCGTACAACTTCTGACAATGCTACTTTGGAGCGATGTGGTACCACATATTGCGAATGTGCATGTCATAAGAAACTCAAGATGTCACGTTATTCTGTTACAAAACATTCGGCAATCCATAGCGTATGTGTTTATTCAACAGCTGGCTGAAGTCTACCTCACGCGCTATTACACTGCATGACTATGTCTCTGCTGCCAGCTACTTCTAGATGTTGCTGTTTGTAAAAGTCGGAGTGGTTTCCAAGACGGGTTTGAAGAACTAAAAGCGATTCATATGGTGATAGGTTTTGGCCGGTGGTTATCGACAATTTGCTTGTGTTCCTTAGGGAGAGTAAGCGAGGTGGCGCTTCCTCCTTTTGGGTGAACGTCATGCAGTCTCCACTCCATTGCTGTTTTCGATCCTTTAAAAAGTCCACAATGTCATCTGAGTAATGAGTTTGCGTCGAACTCTCTGTGCGCTGTTGCCACGGAGCAACATACGGCTTCTTTGAGATTACTGGACGCGCCATATAATGGCCGCCGTGTAGAAGCAGCTATGATAGCTTCGATCATAATGAGGTGAAGGTGATAAGCGGAGTAATACAGATTAGAGTTGAAATAAGAAAACGGTTGCACGGATGGAAACCTTTTCCATTGCTTCGTCTTATCAACGGCGTCGTTGGAGTAATCATTAGCGTTTACAGTTTCGTTTGCATTTTACTGATATGATGCTGGTTTCACTTCATCTCAGGTTTTATTCGGTAAGAAATTTTTGGTGAAGAGATCGTGGAAGAGGTGAAAGCCCACAGCGGGAAATCTATTCGCTTTGATAACCATGGTCACATCTTGACAGGTGACTAAATCTTCCAATCCTCGGGTCGGGTAAGCTTACGTGTAGGATGGAACTTACTGAACTACTCAATCTATGTACGGAAAATTGTGAGTGGTAGGTAATCGCATTGGATGGTCATTGCGGGTCTGAATGGTAGTAGACGCGTGGCGGATCCTAGTTCGAGTCATAAGGATTAGATGGGCACGCAAGTGCATAGCTATGGTAACATTTCTTTTTCAGTGAAGTACCTCGTTGAGCATGGAGCTGACATCGAGGTCGCCAATCAACATGGTCATACATCTTTGATGATAGCTGCGTATCGTCAGAAAGTAAGTTTGTGAGAATCCCGTCCTTGGGGTCCATATTTGCGACTAAATTTAGTTGTTTCAGCAAAGGTGCATTGATTTTTTAGGTTGAGGTAGTCAAATATCTCATCAGTTGTGGTGCTGCGGGGGATGTTAACCGAAGCAGTAAAAAAGGTTTGTTGTGTGATATATGACTTGTTTCCCTTTTTGAGAAAGACATCACCTTACTTGAAATTCCTCCCTGTTTTATGGCGGGCTTGATTCTTAGCATTTGCACGTTTGATCTTCCATTCCTCTTATATTTAAAGTAACTTCTGTCCGTATTTGTAAGGAAGGGCTTCGTACAAGCTTAGCTCAAGCTGCAAGGTGTAGTTGATATAGCGAAACATGATTCTGTAGAAGTTGAGAATGTTGAAGAAAAAACCCGCTGAGGTAGAGAAACCAGAATGTATTTTCAAGATCTAAACAGGTCTCAATGGCTCAAAGTGATTGGACTCTGCATGTTCATTCTTAGGCTTTTCAAATTTAAAGTTTTAAGGAAATACGGCAATGCACGATGCCGTAGAAGGCGAAAATGCTGATGTATGTGCTTTGCTTCTTGAAGCCGGGGCTCGTCTTGTGCCAGATGAGTTTGGTGTTTGTCCGCTCATGTGTGCCGTCATGATTGGCGCAGACTGGGTAAGTATTGTACCCTAATTTGGTTCCTTTTTTGGTTTGCTTCCCAGTTATTGAGAGTTTTCGCATGGTTGCACTTCGATGGGTGCTTTTTTTCTAGATTCTGCCGATGCTGCTAGAACATTGTGAGTCAGGCGAGAAACGCCGCGATGCTTTGAAGCTGCTGGGTTGCACACGAGTCGACAAGAAGATGGATATGGTGGGAGCGATTGAATCATGGAATGACGCGCTTAAAGTGCCATTGACAGATGAGGAAAGGCAGCATGTCAGTTGTGTTTTGATTCTTCAGATCGTTTACAAAGTGGCTTCAATTGCTAAGAAATTTTTCTTTCATGGAAGTTCAAGCAGAGCGTATTCTTCAGCATTATGCACGATTCACATTTTAGTATCAAGCAGTTTATGAAACGCACGAGGCGATTTTTGATGTTTATTTTTTACATAGGCTTTTAAACATCTTAATCATATTTTCATTCAAAATTTGGAAGTGTTAATGAAAGGCTTCCTAATGAGGTATCAGTGAAATTAAAGTCACACAAGGTGGCGTAGTACAAAGGTACCTCATGCTTTTCCTTTAATTTCTGGAATGTTCTCTAGAAGAAAGAGCTAACCCATTTGAAAACCCTCCTGCCAATACCAAGTCCTGTCATACTGAAACGGCCCGAAACCCGAGAAATGGGACCCCTTCCTTGCCCGTTGATTTGCGCATTGATGCGACTCTCATCGCTGTGCCCTCTTCAACACTACGCTCTCTCTGCTATCTAATCACTCGCCACGTATAGACCTGCGGCGAGTGATTAGATAGTCGGTGGGCGTACCCCGCCAACCGCGCCAAGAGTGAGCCATGCTAGATCGCCGAGGTCAAATCTTTCGCTGCCAATTGCGCGTCAGTCCGCACCCTCAGGAGGTCCGCCTGTCTCCCAACTAGGCAATTTCCCCTTCTTTGACCTTCGTTCTTATCGTGAAATTCCTCCTTAAGGAATTGAAGGTTTATGCAAAAGCCGAAGGAAGTATTCCATTTCTCACCCTGTCGCTTTGTGCGATGCGGGCTTTGCGCTGGTGCCCTCCATGAGCTGGAGACCTTTTGCCCCTCATGGTAAAGTGGTCCACGATCTGTCATGATCCTATAATTACTCCTCTGAAATGTTCAGAGGAATGTCAATAGCGTGCGAAATTCATCCAAGTTCAAAAGTTTTCGAAGCCTTTTTCTTAAAAAGGTTTCGAAACTTTCTTAAAAACCTGCGATTTCAGGTACAAGATGTAGCTGACGATTTCGTAGTTCCGGATGTATACGAAGGGCTGAAAGAGATACAAACGCTGGAGGATGTTCGTGCTATCGAAGACAGCCCTGATGCTATTCGTATGCAGGTCAGTTTTCATCTTCAGTACAATATGTCTGCATGAATTCGAAATCTTGTTTTTTCCTTTTCTTAACTTCATTTCATTTCATTTTTTCATTTATTACACTCAAG